TTTAGATCAATTCTGCAGTCAAAATTTTCTCCTGATCAGTCTCTCTGGGTATATTAATATGTTGATGGCTTGGCCATGTGATCAAATCATATCATAATCACTATGTTTGTGTCATATGGCAAGAGATGAATATTTTTCTCAGACAAAATTGACTGCAGGTTACACAATTGTAATATTATCAAATTAGGCACAGAAAGAACTTGAAAATTGATCTAGGCAACCATTGAAACATGGATTTCGATTGGTTAAATTTTGTAAACTTACCTGTTAATGGCTGATTAATGACAGTTAATAAAGTTAAAGTAATGGTCAAGTCACTCTTTTCCCAGTGTAACCCCTTTCTCTTGTCACTCCTGTTATCATTCCCATCTTTGTCTACCTTAGGGCTTTGTTTTGGTCTTTGATGTAAATCATCACCACCATCAGCATTATCATATTGTCGTTGCGTATCATTTAAATCATTTTCTGCACTTGAGGTTGGCTCCCAATCTGAATCACGAACTGAGTCCTCTATAGGATCTTCATGGTCACGGATATCTGTTTGGACTGTTAGCTTGAGTGGTAATAAAGCTGGATTTAGCAATAGCATTCAGAACAGAATCATTCAAAACTGTACCTTGTAAAATATCTATATTATGTTCGTCATCATTAGCTTCATTTTCTAATATAGTCAACAAGATATTCCCAATATTGAATTCCTGTATGTCAGATAAATTTATAGTTCCCAAATCCATCACCTTTATTTTTTTCATCCATAGTTTGGTCATCTATAAAGCCAGCAAAGATTATATCTACGTCTATGGATTATAATGACAGGTGTGCCATTTTGAGGTGTTAATTTGAGTCTTGAATATATATATATAGTAAATATTCTTCAGAGTTACAAGAAATATACAAAAATCACATAATTCTTTCAATAATATCTCAAATTACAAATTTAACTCATTATTGCTATAGATGTCTTTTCTATATATGGCAGTGTCTCTAGAAAAGATGACTTGTCTTTTTAACTTTCGGATAATTCTGGAAACACATATGGATTTGAAGGCCCAAATTTCGATGGGAGTGTGTACACTATTACTGACTTAAAAATTGCCGTCTTTGAGACTAAGGTTCAATTGGTCCAAACATGGTGTAACTGTTCTTTTAATTCTAGGGGAAAAAAGAAAATATTTTCTATACCAACCGACCTGATAGATTGAATTTGATAAATAATATCATTAATTCTGTCTGCTAACTGTATGTTATATATCACACTTGCCTGGTAATTAACACTGGTAGAACCAATAACAATGTTAGTCATATAAAATGTCCCCTCATCCAAGTGCAGTATGAATCAGTTTTGAAAATACTAAATAACCTAAGGGTAAGGTAAAGTTAAAAATATATACATTACTAGAGCCACACGTGGCACAGAGTGGGACTTTGCAAATGTAGCAAATTGCAAAAGAGCCGGAAAAAATCAACCTTCCAAGATAATTAGATCATGTGCAAGAACAGTCTAAAGTTGAGAAATTTTCATTTTTTAGAAGATTCTAATACCGGAAGTAGACGTCAGACCTCACAAATGAAAGTATCAGCAGATAGCCAAGGTCAATGACCTTTGATCTTGTAAAGGAGAAGGTCTAAAAAGGTCAAGATCAAGAGATATACGTCATCAAAATTTCTAATTGCACAAGACTATAAAACCGGAAGTTGACATAGGACAGCAAATATAAAAGTATAAATAGATAGCCAATGCTAATGACGTTTGATCCTACAAAGGTCAAGGTCAACAAAGGTCAAGGTTAAAAATTGAAAATTTTGAATTTTCAAAACCTGTTCCTTTTTTTGAACTATGAAGCGGAAACAACCGAACTTCTAAGACAAAGTGGCTCAAAACATGAGGTAATTGTATGCAAAGTTCCATTTTGAACAAATGTATACTTTGCGAGTTATGCCCTTGGCCAAAAATGTCAATAATGAGTAATTTAACCCGGATGTGCCACGCCCACCTCTATTTTTTTTGCAAAGGTTAATTGATATTCAAAATGTTATGTAGTGTTCCAAATTTCAAGCTTCTACATCATATAGGTCAAAAGATATAGGTCAACAAAAGTCAACAAAGGTCAAAATCGAAAAATGAAAATATCCAAATGTAAAAAAACCGTTCCTTTTTTGAAACTATAAAGCTGAAACAACTGAGCTGTTAACACAAACTGGCCAAATGAATGAGGTAATTGTGTAAAAAGGCCTTTTT